TTCATCTTGGCTGATTCTAACCTTAAGAGGGAAGAGAGGGCCAGCTAGAGAGGGAGAGGGTTGAAGTTGATCATTGAAGCTTGAATATTTGAAGGCCAACTCTAGATTTGACCATATATTGGAAGAATTGAGCCTCTAGGTAAGTGAATTCATGAGTTTAATGCTGTAAATTGTGAATTCAAGTTTGGTTAATGGTCAAGAACATGAATTAGTTTAATTATAAGGAAATTAAGCTGTATTTGTTGAATTTAGAGTCAATTGATGCATGCATGTAGGAAATTACTGTGAATTTCCATATTTGAGCACAATGTGTATGATCCATGTTGAATTTTTGGTTTAAGTCCATATATTTGATCACCTCTTTACCAATTCAGTTGAGGATATTGTGTATATTCCACATGCAAGTGCAAATCATGGAAGTATGAACCTTGAATGTTTGAATTTAGTGTGTTGGTGATGAGTTTGAGTCAATTTGGGACATACATGTGTTTGATTTATGAAATTGAGCTTCATAATGTTGTGATTTGGTGTTTATACCAAGATAGTATGTGTATATGTGAAGTTTGAGCCAAAAGCATGCATTTAGAGCCTTTCAATATCAAGTCGAAGCTCAAGGACATGTTCTGGAAAACCCAGAATTTTCGATGTTTGCTTGAGCGGGAGAACTGACGCTCAAGCGGGAAATACGAGCTCCCAGTATTTTCTATAGACTTGACGTCCGCTCGAGCGGGGAGCTATGCAGATCGAGTTTGCGCTCGAGCGTCCGAGTGCGCACTCGAGCGTAAATTTGATGGAACCAATACTTTTGCAGACCTCATGGGTCCACTCGAGCGGGGAAGTCCACGCTCGAGTGGGGACCCTATTTCTAAAAATTTTGAAAGTACATTCTGTGTTTTGTTTTCTGTTCTCTTTCACTTCTAAGTATTCTTAGACATGCATTGAGCGTTATAAATGAATTAAAGAGATAAGAAAGAAGCCTAAAGAGGAATATGTGAATTAAAGAACGGATTGAATCATTTGTGACCCATATGTGTTATGTGATGTGTAGGGTCAAGCTCCAGGGCAAATCAGCCAACCGATCACTGTGAATAATATCTGATTAAAGATATCCGAAATATATCATTTGTCCAATTGCTTACTTCTACGTAAGTCTTATAAGTCTGTTTATCTGAATGATAAGTGAATGGGCCAGAGGCCATTTTGACAAGAATGAATGGCTGGGCCAGAGGCCGTTTTGACATGAACGAATGGGCCAGAGGCCGTTTTGACATGAATGAATCGGCCAAAGGCCGTTTTGACACCAATGAATGAATGGGCCAGAGCCTGTTTCGACATGAATAAATGAATGGGCCAAAGGCTAGTTTGATACGAATAAATGAAAGGGCCAAAGGCCAGTTTCAGATAAATGAAAATATGAATTGGGCCCAAGGCCGTTTGAAGCATGTTGTTCTACGTACCGTTTGTATAACTCCTTTATTTGATATTATTCACTGGGCTTTCGCTCACGCTCATTCATGTGTTTGTAGGTGAGCCAAGAGAAGTCCAAACCCAGCCCCAGTGATGTCTGTGAGAAAGAACAAAGGTTTTTAAAAGTCAGCCCTTGCGTCTCACACACGAGACCCGTCTTCGCCTTTTTGTCATTCTGTTTTATTTTGTCATGTGGGAGAGGTCTTTGAATATGATGTATATAGTTTTCTTGGGTTGACTTAGACTTATATGATCCTGTATGTACAGAACCTTGTGTAGTACATATTTTGTTGTGAGTTATTAATATGCATATGTATGGTTTGTGATGATGTGCCATGTAAGCACAGCTCTATGGACAATGATTTAAACTGCTTTCGTTTTGCCCCCATTAACTCTGTTAACATACATTTGGTTTGGTTTGAGGCCGTAGGTAATCTCATGATTACCGGCCGGTTATGTCCTCAACCCACGGGGGCAGGTTCGGGTCATGACAGAAAGCAGTCCATGTTTGGCACTTCTTTCTTAAAAATCAGTTTTCCAAAACGATTTGCCAGATTTGGACTCTTTGGTGATTTATCGATCTCGCATTGCATTTTGCGGGATTAGATTCAGAACTGTGACATTTGAGTCCGACCTGTAGTAGCATGAGGCCCGAGGGCGCGTCTACAGTGGGTATATGGTCATTTTGTGAAATGACTTGAAGGGAAGAAATGAGAAATAGTTGATTGATATTGTGGTAGAGATATTTTGGGAATGGAAATTATTGCATCATATTTCACTTTATTATTATCATTGTGCACCTTGGCATGTTTTGGAAAGACACTTATTTTGAGAGAGATCATACTGTAATGAGAATGATGGAAACGTGAATGGGGTAAATATGTGGTAAGTTAGAATAGGGGGTGTAGTTGAATTTGATAAGTTGGCCTGAGTGTCCTTGGTGAAAGACCAGAAAATCGCGCGGGTAGGTGTCTAGCCTTCCGGTTAATACCGGTAACAATGACAGTTTGGTAGCAGTCATAGAGTCTACTTGCAGACACCAGCCTAGGGATTACCAATGTCGTATTTACCGCCCCTATTAATCAATGATTGGAAATTTTGGTAAAAATGTTGAGGTTGTAAATAATTGTTGGATAGATAGAACTTTTAAATGTGCATAGAAAGGACTTTCTTATAAAGGTGCATGGCATGGCATTATCAATTGTGTTGTTTTTAAAGAGCATGCATAACTGTATATACTTTGTGAGAATTTCTACTGGGCTTTGTGCTCACTCCTATGGTGTTTGGTGCAGGTAAAGATGTGGTAAACCCGCCGAACTGAGGGCGTGGATGTTTTGAGAAGAGTACATAACTCTTATTTTTGTGTAATTCTTTTGAGCCAAGGGCTAATGTGTGTGGGTTGCAGAAACCATCTTTTTGTGTAACCAGGCTTATGCCTTGGAAGATGTAAGCCCTTAAGGGCATTGTATTGTTTTGAGAATAGATGCTTTACATGCTATAGATTCATATTTTTGTATTGATGAATGTATACCCGAATGTAAAACCTTTGTAAAGACTCATTAGTATTTATGTAAAGTTGGGCAGGTTACTGTTATTGCTGGTTAAATGTTAATTATTTATGGGTAATTCATGTTGAATTATTTCGGGGCGTCACAAGTTGGCTTAACCAACAACTTGTCAACCTAGAAGTAAACAAAAGCTAAGAGATGGGACAATGGTGGGGGCTGTGCATTGCATTTGCAATTTTGAATCATTGGCAGAGTTGTATTAAAATGTATAAGTGAGTGTATAAAATTAAAATTATATAATGATTTAACAAGAAGAAAAAAATTAAATACACAAGATTCTAGTTGGATAGCATAGAGAAACAACTTGGCACTCATACACAATAATTAAATTTTAGTAGTGAGTAGAAAAATTGAGAGGGTTAAAGGAATACAGTAGAGTACCAAAACAACAATATGAATTTATTATCCATACAAGCCTTAATTGGAAGAAAAGAGAGGGAAAAAAAAATTAGAAGCATGAAATCAAAAAGGTATTGTTATTCTAGTTTTGTATTTTGTTTAGGGTACAATAAAAGGTCATAGTGAATTATAGTCTTAAAGAGTCCAATATACAAGAGGCGTGAGCAATATGATAGTTCTAATTTCAGCTTAACTCATGCTATGTTCTCTGTTCATGTAATCAGGTTAATGGAGCTCTGACTACTATTTGAAATTACTAACCTATCTACCCAAAAATGGAAGGATATTGAGATGGTTATTTGACCCATTGCTGGACAGCAGAATAAGAGGGGACTAGAGAGAAATGAAGTACATGCCCAGCATAAAAAGGGCTCTAACCAGTCTTACTTTTAGCTGCTGCTGTACCAGCAAATAGTTCATATGGTACTTACTTGGGAGTTAGCGCCAAAAACACCTTTAACTTAATCGATAAAAGGTGTTAAGGAGGTAAAAATGCAAAACAGCCCCCGAACCACCATACGGATGTCACAACCAGCTTCCTCATGACAAATAGGACCTGTGACAGTAGACGGAATGTAATTAGCACGTGTATGGTGGGAGTTCGAGCTGAAAACGCTTTAAACTTAACCGATAAAGGGCATTAAGGGGAAAAAAATTCTAAACAACTCCCGAACCACCATGTGACTCTCATGGACAGCTTCTCCATGACAAATAGGACTCGTGACAACTGACAGAACATAATTCGGACCCATAGGTAGAGAGTTAGAGCCGAATAAATCACATTACTAACTATGACAAATTCAGTCCTTGTCTTGCATTGCAGGCTTTCCTTCTTCATCACCATTTCTTTACTAGCTTTATTTGACTTCTAACTTTTTTTTACATGGGTTATTATACAAGACACCTTAGATATATGCATGAGTAACACTATCACATGAAGCATTCTAAGTGGTGAAGCTAATGTAAACTTGATTTTTTGTAATGAAAAGGGGGAAGACTTAAACCATGTGTTGCTCTTTTGTCCTTTTATCTAGAAGGTTTGGTCTCATATTATCAGATGGTGAGGCTTGCAATGGGTACTACCTGGCTCTGTGAATTGCATACTATAATGGTAGGCTGGTATTAAATTTTAAAAACAGAATAATATCATCTGGAAGGCCATTCCTTTGGCTATGCTCTAGTCCATTTCGAAATAGAGGAATAATTGCATTCTTAAGGCCTCACAGCCATATATAGGGGAGCTGTGTGAGACTATTAAATTAAGGATTGCAATGTGGATCAAAGTATCTTGCCCCCTCCTTGGATTTTTCAATTAATAATATTATTTTCAACTTGCAAAAAGTCAAAGTTTGCATTAGGGAGATTGGTTAGCAGGCCTGGGGTAGAGTATTTAGGCTGGTGATTTTGCTTTAGGTTTGTGCTGACATTACTTGTTTTTGCTATACAATCTTTTGTACCATTTCCTAATTCCATGTTTCCATACCCATTTAGGCTTCAGTTATTTTAAACATTGTGTCAATCACTTCTACACCTATATAAGCTCATATTAAACAATCTGAATTTTTTATATGGTTGGGATTGTTTGTCTTATTTTTGGTTGAATTTGGATTGAAGGCTTACCGAGCATGATAGCAATAGGGACTTCAACATGCAATGGTTTCATGACAAAAGGAAATTTGCCCGAAAGGTTGAAGACTTTGGAGTGAATCTTGTTTTATCCTCTTATGATGATAAAGAAGCCTTGAGAAGTAAGTTGATGATGCCACTTATGATTATAAAGTTGCCTTCCAAAAATGATATTGATTTTTCCTTTTAGTCTTTTTCTTTGTGATTCTAGCCTTCTTGATGTAAAAGCAGCTGTGATTTATTATGTTCTGTAGTCATTGGGAAGTCGGCTTTTGTGTCACATATATATGATGCTAAATCTTTTAAAATGTTGTGGAATTTTTTGGAGGTTGGAAAATGACTGCACTAATGGAGAATGCATATGCTTCATTTTATCTCATTTCCCCTTTTCCTGAACTCTGATCTCCCCATGTTGCTTATTGTTTGATTTCTTTGCAGAACATGCATATGCTTCATTTTATCTCACAGCTTTGAAGTTCAAAAATGTCAGCTTCTCTCTTATAGTTTTCAGTTGGATTGCTGCCACATGTTGAATAAGCTTGCTATACTCTTATTTCTTAACTTCTTTTATTTGTGGTTTGCTCAATATCATTCCAGGCATGTACAAGCAAGAGTTCATTTTCTGTGTGCAAGTGAAGGAGAGGTTGCGTAGTTCAGATGATTACCAGGCATTCTTGAAGTGTCTTCATATTTACAGCACAGAGATAATCACAGAAAAATATTTACTAAGTTTGGTATGTGAGATCCTTGCTATCTATCCTGGTGGCAATTTTACAAACAAGAACTTGGGTTAACAACCCTTATTGAATTTGCACTATTGATTTCATATGGTGTTCAGTTGTAAACTTTTAGGTCAATTTTTTCAGTGTTTTCACTAGGAATGCAGTGTTGTTATCATGGCTTTTTAGCACTTAATGTTAGACTCATTTTTTAAACATAATGATATGACACTTTATTAAAATATTTAAATTATAATTTTCTCTTATTTATTCTCAAATCATCAATCAATCATCTTACTTACACATCATTAGACATAAAACGTAGATCTAAAAAGTAGATTTGTATATTATTTTTCTTAGACATTCTTGAAACATCAAATGCGTTTCAGTAAAAATTTTAGTGAATGTAGTATTGCTCTCATATTTTTGTCATGTAAATGCCAATTCTTGATTAACCTCTCAACCAACACTAAAATAAATTAAGGTTTTAGAGGAGGGAAAAATGCAAAATAGCCACCGAACCACCGCATGGACGTCACAACTAGTTTCCTTACGTCAAATAGGACTTGTGATAACAGATCGAACGTCATTAACACTTGTAAGTTGAGAGTTAGAGCTGAAAACGGCTTAAACTTAATCGAAAAATGTCGTTAAGGGGGCAAAAATGCAAAATAGCCCTCGAATCACTGAACGGACGTCACAACCAGCTTTCTCACTTCAAATAGGGCTGTGACAACAGACGAAATGTCATTAGCACATGTAGGTTGGGAGTTAGAGTTGGAAACAGCTTAAACTTAACTGAAAAAGGGCATTAAGGGGGCGAAAATGCAAAAAATCCCCGAACCACCGTACGAACATCACAACCAATTTCCTTATGTCAAATAGGACCTGTGACAAGAGACAACATGTCATTAGCACGTGTAGGTTAGGAGTTAGAGCCGAAAACGGCTTAAACTTTACTGAAAAAGGGCGTTAAGGGGATGAAAATGCAAAACTGCCCTCAAATCACCGTACGGATGTTACAACTAGTTTTCTCATGTCAAATAGAACCTGTGATATTATAAAGAATGTCGTTAGCACGTGTAGGTTGGGAGTTAGAGCCGAAAACGGCTTAAACTTAACCGAAAAAGGGCATTAAGGGGGCAAAAATGCAAAACAGCCCCCGAACCATCATACGAACATCACAACCAGTTTCCTCACGTGAAATAGGACCTGTGACAACAGATGGAATGTCATTAGCACGTGTAGGTTGGGAGTTAGAGCCGAAAACATCTTAAACTTAATTGAAAAAGGGCGTTAAGGGGGCAAAAATGAAAAACAGGCCCCGGACCACTGTATGGACATCACAACAAGCTTCCTTACAACAAATAGGACCTGTGACAACAGACGAAATGTCTTTAACACGTGTAGGTTGGGAGTTAGAGTCGAAAACGGCTTAAGCTTAACCGAAAGAGGGCGTTAAGGGGGCGAAAATGCAAAACAGCCCCCGAACCACCGTACGAACATCACAACTAGTTTCCTCACATGAAATAGGACCTGTGACAATAGACGGAATGTCATTAGCACGTGTAGGTAGGGAGTTAGAGCCGAAGACGTCTTAAACTTAACTGAAAAAGGGCGTTAAAAGGGTAAAAATACAAAACAGCCCTTGAATCACCGTACGGACGTCCCAACTAGTTTTCTCACATCAAATAGGACATGTGATAGTAGATGAAATGTCATTAGCATGTGTAGGTTGGGAGTTAGAATTGGAAACGGCTTAAACTTAATCGAATACTTAGTCGAAAAAAGGGCGTTTCGGGGGCGAAACTTCAAAACTGCCCCCGAACCTCCGTCTGACTCTCACGGTCAGCTTCCCCATTACAAATAGGACTTGTGACAACTGACGGAATGTATTGGAGATGTATAGTAATGGAAAATTATGGGAAAAATATTTAGAAACCAATATGAACTCAGTTTACACCTTGTTTTAAACTTGCTAATTTTTTGAACGTACATGTTGCATACAAATAGAAGATTGTTACATTAGCTTTTTGTTACTAATGAAAGATTTAGTAATGATTGTTTTGCATTTAACAATGTTCCTTATAACAAAAGACTTTAGAAAGACTATAGAATGACTGATAATTGATTCATCATGGAAGGTTGCTTCTCACTTATTTTTATTTGTCACTTGTTGACAAATTCATTCATGAAGTTGGGCATTTTTAGGTCCAATTCTAAAGTTTTTTTTTTTTGTAGATGACTTTGTTGCGTGGACTTCCAGAGTTATTTTGGTGTGTGAAGAAGAAATTGTACTTTTGTATAGAAGTAATATAATACTTTTGTCATCTCTGGCTTTTATGCAGTTAACTATTATTGATACAGATAACTTTTGGCAACGAACAGATAATTACTGGCATGGTAGATAGATCACCTTTTGTCGCCGTACAGATATATGATTTTTTGTCTTGGTACATAGATGTACTTTTGGCTTGGTACATACATCACCTTTTGTCGTGGTACAGATTACGATGGTAATTTGAACCATGCCAAATGGTCATTTCACATGGTATAGTAAATGTAATTTTTGTATATGGAGGGCTTCACTATAGCGATACCGGTTTTCCTCTCATTGTTTATTGTATTCCGGACTCAGTTCCGTGGATGGTTGTTGTTGTCTGTGTTGCACTTCCGTCCTTTAACTCTTTGAAGTTGTGTTTAGAAATCTCTTGGACGTGTTCCGAACAGGTAGGGTGAGCTTTGGTCTCTATTCTTGTTGCCCAGATTTTTGATGATCCGCTCGAGTGGGTCCATTTGCGCTCGAGCGGAGTTTGCATCCTTTCAGCATTTTGTGCATCTACAAAAATACTGCAGGTGTGTTTTTCATGCTCAAGCAGATTTCCTTACGCGGGTCGCGCTTGAGCGGGTATCTGATGCTCGAGCGGGTGTTTGAAGTCTGTAAAAGTATTGGAGGAGTGTAATCTACGCTCGAGCGGGTCCCTTTGCGCCCGAGTGGGTAGTGTTTTGTTGTTGTGCCTTGGCGCTCAAACGGGTCTTTTTACGCTTAAGCGGGTTAAGTTTTTGTGTCTGAGGCTCGAGCGTCCTATTCTCCGCTCAAGCGGGTTATACGTATATCAGATCGCAGCTAGGTCTTTTTAAATCACTTTTTCATCTTCCTCTCTCTCTCTCTCTAACTTTTCAAAACCCTCATTTGAGAGTTCCTCTCTCTAGAATACAACTTCTCTCTAAGGAATCATCTAGTTTGAGTGATCTTCTACCATAGTTCCTTTGTAAAAAGTGTGGAGCTTAGTGTTGTCTACATTTTGATCCGAAAATCTTGGGATTTGGAGCACCTTCGAAATTCTTCATCTTCTGCATTTGGTCTCATCTCTTGAGGTAGGGATAACTACTCATATTTATGGTCTTTGACATAAACTTGTAGTTATTTTGATGTAATGTTGTAGTTGGGAAAGTTTGGGAGTTAGGATTTCAAACCTTAAATTGTAAAAGGAGGGTTTTTCGTTCCATTGAACTATATATGTGTATGTGAACCTTAAAATGAAGTTATTGAGGTCTATTGATGATATTTGGACCTTTGGGTCAATACTGGGAGAAATGGGAAAAATGTCATATTTGGGTTGTATTGGATCATTAGTGTAATTAATGACTTTCATTGTAAAATAGTGGAATTGGGAAGTTATGAGAAAGAATGGTGGAGTTGGACTGATTAATCACTCAATTTTGAAAATATTGATAATTTATCTGTTGATGCATTTATTATCTGTTTAGAAATAATTGCTTTGGGCTATCGGTGGAGGATATTCTTGATTGTTGTAGACACTGTATGTTGATTAAGGAAAACTGAAACTAATCACATTGAATATGTCATTAAATGTGACGGTTGGAATAATACATTGAATTTGTGTGTTGATTGATCTTATATATGATAAGTGTTTATATACATTGCATTGTGTGGGAGAAGATAGGGGATGTACTCCACGGTTTGGGAGGAGATAGGGGATGGACTACTAAACCGAATGTTATTTGAGAGGAGATAGGGGATGGACTCTATTGATATAGCAAATTTGTGTATCATTTATGAAGTGTGGAAGTGTTTTAATATGACATTGATACAGCAAATATGTGTATCTATTGTGAAGTATGGAAGTGTTTATTTATGAGTTATTATTTCATTTGAAATTGAAGTATTGTTAATATGAGTTGCAGTCTCATTAAATTGTTTCGCCAGGTTCTGAGCCATGTTCATAAATTGGAAATTGGTTAAGTAAAGGAAAGTGGAACGAAATATGGACATATCTGTCACGGAATTGGATTGTGTTGTACGTTGGTCTGTATGAGTTAAACATTTATCAAATGCTAATGTTGTAGTTATTGCTCATATTATGTTTAGCATATCTTTACTGGGCGTTGGCTCACCCTATATGGGACATCATTTTCAGGTGCAGGTGATATGCCGCCTCTAAGGATGTAGCTTGGGAGGTTGTAGAAGCTGAAGGCTTCCTTTTTGTGATTATTTTGTGTATTTCATGTATATCAAGCCAAGGGCTTATCTTGTGTAAAGAGTTAGAACTCTATTTTTGTTGAACCCAAGTGTTGACTTGGAAAGTTGTAAGCCTATAGGGCATATACTTTTGTTGTCAACATGTAATATTCCTTGTAAGATTATTTTGATGTTGGTAATATGATATCTCTTTTTGTATCATGAATGTATGATTATGGGTTTATTTTTTGAGGGCGTTACAACTTTGTATCAGAGCGTACCAGGTTCAAATACTTTGGGTATATGGGAAGTGGTTAGTACCACAATGGATTTGTCTCGCTTGTTAGAGACTTAAGTGTAATTCTATATGCTTATGTGATAACATGCTTATGTGACTATATGGGTATGGGATTTAGTTTCTAGGATGTTGATTGGATCCTTGGGTTTCTAGGAGTCCTATTGGAAAAGCACCTGATCAATGTTGTTTCTAACTGGAACTCTAGCAACGCCT